AAATCCCAAATAGCCCTGTTAGGGCCGGCCCGGGAGGCACAGAACCGTGCCAGCGCTAGCTATAGTTTGGCCCTCGGGCCACAGTTTGTAACCTAAGCTCTACTTTTTGAGGGCGGACCTCACGGCCCATTGCCAACTATATTATCGACCAACTTTGATAAGAAAAAGAAAATTAAATACATTCTACATGTATCTAAAAAGAATAATGTCCTAATATGATTAGTAATAATCCAAATTATAGATGTTCTGATCTAAATAATGTCATAATATGAATATCAATAATCAAAATTATGGATGATCTGATATAAGTATTTAAAAAATCAAAATTTAAACTTAATAAAAAATTAATCATCCAGGAATTTTTAGACCGATCCCAAAATTTCACATCGAAAATATCTTCCAAAGTAGGCGTAAGTATGACTCCAAAGGGATAATGCTACATACACTCATATTGCGTAAAAATAAGCTGCAATCATTATTGGCCTGTAGTGCCCTGCTGGGAGCTCTCATATTCTGTAAAAATAAGCCATGTGCTTTGCAACCATATTGGCCTGCAGTGCCCTTCGGCGAGCTGCCTTTCTTGCTGTTTGCATGTCTAAATATAATCATTATATGATATTAGGGCCAGCACAAACATCCAAAGGATAGAATTCATCCTAAATGCATGTATGTTTTAGAGAGCGAAAAAGAGGGGGATTCATTGCGAAAGAGAGGAGGTGGTTGCGACTTTTGTCGCTCTATTCTCTATTGTAACTGTGAGTTACCTGCCATCTTTTAAGAGTTGGATGGTGGTGATGAAAAATAGCTTTTCAATCACTTCCGTTCAACTAAATTGGAAAGTAGTTGGCTCAAGTTTATATGCGGGCATTGCCTGTATTATATAAACTTTTTCCATTTTTTTTCATAACCATCCAAGCTTAAAGCCCATGGTCACCACTCAAAACTAGTGAGCCGCGCCCATAGAATGTGTCATTTGAAATTGAAGCATCCCCTGGTCACCACTCAAAACTAGTGGGCCAGGCCATAGAATGTATCATTTGAAATTGAAGTACGTTTGTTTGTTTGTTTGTTTTTTTTGTTTTTTTTTTTTTTTCTTTGTGAGAAAAGTTGCATTACTTAACATAATTTAACAAAAAGAAGCATCTATTCTAGCTGTAAATTTTAATGCCACTTCAACTGAAAATGGGGGAGTAGTCTCCTCATTGACTATTTGAGACCACTAGTCTATTATTCACTGTGCATTTATTCATGAATGGTCATGTGTCTTTTGAATAAATTTTAGGGAGAGAGGGACTATTTGAGAAATAATTGTGCCCCACACAAAATTTGTGGTGGTTCTTTCATTGTATATATAATGATAATACAATGGTGTAGTAGGCACTTTCCTATCTATGCACCTTCCTATCTTGTTACATGCAATATACACTTTCTTATTTATGCAACATTCTACATTCTATTATTCTCTCTCAAACTCAGCTGGGGAGGTATTTGAACCTTAAACTCGGTTGGGGAGGTATTTGAACCTTAAACTTGGCTGGGGAGGCATTTGAAGCCCGAGTCTGAAGCAAAAATCTCAAAAAATATCTCGTGGCAAATGCTTGGTGAAGATATCAGCTACTTGATTACGAGATGAAATAAAACGAGTGATAAGTAATCCAAGAACAACCTTTTTATTCATAAAATGATAGTCTAACTCAATATGTTTTATCCGTGCATGAGAAATAGGAATAATTATCATGTAGAGAGCACTAATATTATCACAAAAAAATGTTGGTGGCTCATAAAGAGGCAATTTCTTATGATGATTCTTTTATTGTATATATAATGATAATACAATAATGTAGATTGTACTTGCCTATCTTGTTACATACAATATATGCACTTTTCTATTTGTGCAACATTCTACATTCTATTACCTTTGTGTTATATTACAGTCATCAAACAAAATATAGGAGTATGTGTTATATTACAGTCATCAAACAAAATATAGGAGTACATATAACAAGCTCATGCTGGAGTAAACTATATATTTACTCCCTTTGTGTAAAAGACTTGATGGGATTTGTTTAATGTGAAAATTTCACGATCTACAATAGAACCACCATAAATTGTATATTGAATTCCATAATACTTAGATTTAACCATTTAAAGATTGGATGATCTCTATTATTTCAAATTTTCAATCACTTATAGAGTATATAGAATACCTTTTTTTTTGTCCTTTCTGAAGTTGGTTGCTTGGTAGAGAGGTTACATGGCGTAGAGGGAAAAACCGAAAACTTCGACCTCTCCAGTCGAAGCTTGAACAAAGCGAATTTAACAACACTGATTACACCCTTAGTTTTAGAACACCAAAAATGCTCCTAAACAGGGTTTTGGCGGGGAGTGAATCTCCAAATGCTTCCACGAGAGAGTAGAATAAGACAAAAGATAATACCTAGTTAATTTCAAATAAGCTAACTAGTTGTGTGAAGCTTCACATGTTATTTCCTCTTTTAATAAATAATGATATAAAAGGAACCCACAATTGGTAAATTAGTTTTGATAAAAATATACCGATATTTATGTCAATATTCCTTATAATTTGGGGAATTAATAAAATATTCTTAATGTTTCACATTTTACGACCATGCCATTTTTCCTTTTTTTTCCCCAAAATACTCCAATTAGGAACTTTTCCCCTCGATATCAAAATCAAGAATAAAATTATTATCTGAAGAGGTATTTTATTTGGTGGACCAGGTCTACAAGGTGCTTCTACAAGAATTGATTATAAGTAGTTTTTTAGGCTAAAAAACATGGGACACGGTTTATATGTGTCCATGTAGAAATGAGTGACCTCTTAAAAATCTATTTTAAAGATGAATTTTTTGACGTAATTTTTAAGGACATGTAATCTTTAACATGGAGATCATGAATATGAAAAATAAATAAATTTTAAATATTAAAAATAATATTTCTATTAAAAAAACATTTGGACCAATAGTTTCAACTGTTTTTAAATGAACCACCTATTTGCATCCATCTAGAAGATGGATGCTTTATACCTTGAGGACTGCAATTGTAGAAAGGCGATCCCTACCGCATGAAACAATTGTCCAAAACCATAAGTGCATGTCTGCTCGAAACTTGAATATTAAAGCTGGTCCTTAACTTCTCTTTTGCTAATGGCACGTCTGGGGCTTCCACGTACTGTAGCACCGGCCTTTATTATGAGGGAGTAGAAGCTGCAATTTGGAACCCATAGCTTCCAACGGGCCTAAAAACGATGTCAATTTGACATTGTTTTTATGAACCCTCCCCTTCCATGGTAATGTATGGAAGGGGACGAATTATAAACTTCGTGGATGTCGCTTCACAAAATAAATGCCCCACAAGAGGGGAGGCCCGAGTTCGAACTTGAAGTGCCCCAATTACGAATATATTAGTTTGGAACTTCAAATCGATCTCTTAGCCAAAAAAAAAAAAGTAAAAGACCTCGGTTCGGTTCAAAACCTTATAGGCATTTTAGGGAGAAAAAAGTTCCAAAAAAAGAGGTATGAATGTAAAATATGAAAATTGAGGATGTTTTTTTATTTGGCAAATTATCAAGGATATTTGCGTCAAGTTTTTTAAAATATATTGCTTATTTCCTTATTAAATTGAAGAATAAATATTTTTTGCAAGGAGAGTTTCTTATAAAAGCAATTCAAGTTAAAAAGTCCATGAACTATATTTGCATTAGTGTATAATAGGTACCCAGCCTTGTACTCTCTCTCATTGTAGAGTCCGATTCTATTAGTTGATGCAACCGGTCCACAGTTCTTTAATTAATGTAAAATAAAGGGAAAATTCCCTGTTTGATAGCCTGTCTGGAAAACCAGAATAGTTCAGTTCCCCTAGCGGGTAACTTGGTAAGAGGAGACTGTTGTAGTCACCCATTGCATGATTCATCAATAAATCATTAAAGACAGCTTTTTGAAAGAAGTATTTCGGTTATAGCTCATCCATGATATTTTCATAAATATAAATGGTTGGGATTGTAAATTTATATTCCAATTATTTTGTTACTCTCTTTCTCTATGGTATTTTTGCAAATGGTCTTCTTTTTGCATACATCATACCGCAAATGTTACTCTATGAAATATTTATCTTGAAAGAAAATACATTAGGGAGTTAAATAAGAGCGAAATAGCAGTCAAAGTAGATAAGCTATACCAGAATCACATGAAAAGAAATATATCTCTAACGAGAACAACGTCTCCTATAGGCGACCGATATTTATGCTGTAATAGTTCTCCCTGAATTGCATGTTTAATCATGGTCTACCCTACATTGAGAATTAAGCTCCTCATTTTCAATTTCTTCAGCATTTTGATCTCCTAGATCTAATCTACTTTGAGAATTAAGCTCTTCGTTTTCAATTTCTTCAGCATTCTGACCTCCTATATCTTCATCTGATCTTGCATTTCTTAGCATTCTCTTAACTATTTTTATCACCTCCTGAAAATCAAGTTCCTCTTGCGCTTTACTCCTCTGGATATAGTTATGCAATATGGATGTATTGTGTTCAATCTTGACTTCTGAATTCAGCAAATTATCACCCATTTTCACCGAAACTTGATTGAAATTGTAGTGAACTTCATAAATGAGCAAGCTTAAACTTGTTTCGCACATTAACAAAATTCAGAAATGTGGATTAAAGAGAACTACGAAAACTTAAATGGAACTAAATACAAATTAGCCTAATATATTCATCAAATTCAGGCAATAGCATTTGAGATAAAAGGGTTTCCTGGTTTCTCCATTTAAATTAGGGTTACAAAAAAGTAAAAGATTAAGATAATCAATAGAATTCCATATATTTTCAAACTAGAATCGCCTACCAACCGAATCCCAATCTGAATCAATTTAAAAGTAGCAATTTGGTAAAAACTGGGGTTTTTGTGGCCAACTGGTAAAAATTATAGTTTTGAACTTATATTTTCGAGCTTTCCATATAAATCAACAACAACACCACATCGAATTATTTTGATTGACAACAAAATTATACATAGAATGGGCTAATAGCAATACATTGCCTCCACTTCCTCTCTTCCATCTTAAGTTGACTCTCTCTCTCTCTTCATTCTCTCTCTCTTGACAATCCCTTGCTTCTATAGGGCGTTCTTGGTGCAGTTAGCCCAGTATTCAGCCACAAGCTTAGCAAAGGAAGAGTTGGTTTCCATGAGGCTTGATGGTTTATCGTATTCCACAAGTTTCCCTGTTACCAACGTTCAAAAAGCCGTTATAACATACCACATTGGGCAAGGGCTGTTAACCAATATAAAGAAGAGTAATATAAGGAAATAGTTATTGTATGATGTGCAAGACCGTTATAACAGATGCGAAATGCAAATATTTAGTATGAAACGATCGCCGTATAAAGAAGATTAATACGAGGAAAAAGTTTATATAAGTGAGAAGCTTTAAACAATCAAATTAGGGTACATCTCAAAAATTTCACTAAATGAGGTTGTTTTGATGTCCAAATATGTGATCATCTCAGCCTCAAATGCATGGACATGAGAAAAAAATGGATTTCAAGTTTTCGAAGTAGTGCATCTTCTAATGCACTTTTTGGACAGTCAATTTTAAAGATTTTCACTATTTTGAAGCTTTAAATTTTATAATTAGAGATGAAAATATATTTTAAGGCTATCACAAAAATTTTCAAGTTTTCACTAATTTTGAAATATGCATTGACACTGTTTTTTTTCTAAATTTGAGAGATTTTAATGGTCATGTAGGAGCAGAATGTATATTTGCTCCCTCGGGCATTACCTGCATCTTTGGGATCCTAATTTTGGAAATGACCAACTCAACCTAGTTATCACCTTAGGAAAGAAAAAAGACATCTATGTACATTTGGGATCTTCATGTGAATTCGCATCATGCCCTAAAATTTCACACTAATTGTGGGTGTTTACTTACTCTATAAACATCTTTCTTAGGCAACTTTATCAAATAGCACTCATGATAGGGAGAAACTTCCCCATGTTTTACTCGATCAAAGTATATTATGATTTTTACCTACTGCATAATTCATGGTAAAAATTGAGGGCATCTTGTGTGCTCTTTGATCATTTTTCCATAAAAGGAATATATATATATATATATCTTTTAAACAAGTATCCAATGAGCCTATTTATCTTTGGTACAAAATGACTACAATTAATTTTGATCATTGAATTTGAAATTGAGTGGGCATTTATTCATTGACCAAGCTCAAAGTTCAAAAAAAAAAAATTGAAACTTTGTAACACACCCAAGACATCAGATTTCACATCGGATGGTCATAAATAATTGTGACTTCCTTGTACTAATGTTAAATAATTGCATCTTATATAATCCCTTTTTTAAATACCTAAACACGGACGATCTATGTGCAATCCTAGGACGGGCGTACATGATTTCTTCATAAAGTACCAAACTGTGCATTGAAGTGTTTTTTTCTTTTCTAGATTGGTCATTAGGTTGAAGTCACATGCGCACAATTTGGGGTCCAAAAAATTCCGCTAACTAGGGTTCTTCCCAATATATAGCAACCCATGGTAGCATATTAATCTTCATAATTTACAGAAGAATAAAATATCAAACTCACATTTTCCCTGCAAATGAATAGGCTTTCTTAAAAACCAATTAACTTTGGAAAGAGGGCCAAATTGAAAGTGCCCCTTTGCCTCATGATCAGTATCTTCGGATAGAATTTTAAGATTGATTATGGAGATTTTAGAGTTAACTTAAAAGATTAAGATGCTATATAATGCACCTTACAGGCGCTTTTTGAAACATTTCCCCAGTTTATTTGGGAGAAAATGTGTACTTTTAAGAGGTAAATGGAGCTAATACTAAGAATGGACATTTAATTGATGTTGCCATGTCACTTTTGTCTTTAAATTGGGAGAGATTGCTCACATGGTTTTGAAAATATAAAATATTCAAAACATATGTACAATTAGGTATGTTAAAAAAATAGTTAACACATAAGGTATATTTTTCAAAAAATTTAAATTTTAGAGAGTATCTTTCCTGAAATGTTGATTGTTTATCCGGAAATTTTGATTGTTTACATTTTTATGAAAATTTTTGACCCAATATTTTTTAAAATAATAGCTGTAAATTAAAATATCAATGAGCAATAGGCTTCTCTTCAATTTAGAGGCTGAAGCTGAAGACTTAGGCTGATTTGGCCCTGGTGAATCAAATTTGGCCATGCGAAGCAAATATGATAACATTGCTTATGGTAATCTTTTTTTTTTTTGTAAGGCATTGCTTATAGTGACTTGTCATCATTTGAGGTAGGTGCAGTTTTTAGTGGATGGTGTTATCATTTGAGGTAGGTGCAGTTTTTAGTGGATGGTGTTAAAAAGTTTAAATCTATGGATTTGAGTCTACGAACACACTCATACATGGACGATGATCCTTATTCGTACATGCATATGCATTCATGCATGCACGTACACATATATTCATAGATATGTGTGTGAGTGTGTGTGTATGTTGAATGAGAAGATTTGAGAGAGCCTACCATAAGAAAGAACCATTACACGATCGCTATCTGTGACAGTGGGCACCCTGTGCGCGACTGTTATCACTGTACAGTTTGAGAATTCCTTTCTTATAACCTTTTGGAGAACAGTATCAGTTGCTGAGTCAATGGATGCAGTTGCCTCATCAAGAACCAATATCCTATTCTTTCTTAGAAGGACCCTGCCAAGGCAAAAGAGCTGCCTTTGCCCTGCACTCCAATTCCCTCCCTCATCGCTTACTGTAAATATTAAAACCATATCATGAACATCGATACCCACTTCCGATATTCTAGTACTAATCTAGAAATAATGAATAATTCAACAAACAAATCCAATATTACCGGATGAATCAAGCCGGTTGGGGAGGCTGCGGATAGTGGCCATCAACTGGCATTTTTCTATGGCCTGTGATCAATGACATAGCACAAGTTGTTTACTGGAACATTTCAATCAATAAGGCTTATAATTTTTTATTAGAAATTAACAAAACTTTATGTATATGTCGATAAGATCAAAGTCAAAAAAGAAATTCCTTGCTATAGATGCTCGAATTTGAATATCTCTTTCAATGGGAGTCCTCATTAGCAAGAAGTAGCAGGGGAGGATGGTACTATTACCTCCCATATCTCATGGTCACTGTATAGGCCTAGAGGATCCAAGTTACTCCTTATCGTACCCTTGAAAAGAGTTGGCTCTTGGGGTATAATGCTGAGCTTAGTTCTTAGGTCCCTGAGACCAATGGAGCAAATGTCCAGTCCATCTATGAGGATTTTTCCGCTAAAAGGATCAACAAGACGAAACAAGGCACTTATCAAGGTTGTCTTGCCGCTGCCAGTTCTTCCAACAACTCCCACTCTCTTGCCTGCCTCAAATGTGCATGTAATCCCTTTGAGAACAAGAGGAGAATTCGGTCTATACGTTATCTGTGAAAAGATAAATCAAACAAGCAAAGGAGTGGGATTCCATCAGACTTACAATGTTCATGATGCCATTGGTCATTGGATCCAATTAACAAATGTATATAAAGGGAGGCATACATATGCGTACATACGTAAATGTGGATATGCATGTGAACATTAACACAGAACACAAACAATCATAAACATGCATGCGCACATAGGCACATACATAGCAATATAGAAGATATTGTACATGAGTAGACACACTATCTCTAATATTAGGTTCATGAATAAGTCAGATGAGATTTAGTGGAACCATTGCTAATATATTAAGTAATACATATATTACAAGAACTTCAGGGTAGGCATGATTTAAGGATATATTTTTGAAATAAATTTTTTTGTCACCTTCAGATCCTGTAAATCAATCTGACCATTGACAGGCCAAGTATCTGGGGGCCTGTTTTCATCAATGATTGCTGGTGGTTCTAAGGGAAGATTCATGAATTGCTTTATGCGCTCTACTGAGATGATGTAATTGGCAAGTTGGCATTGCCATCGAGTTAGAAAAGCTTGGCAACTGGTCAGGCTCAGGGCATAAGAGAGCGATAGTCCTGCAAATCCTGTGAAAAACAAGAGTACAGAATTGCTCATGGGTTTCAAAATTAAAGGAAAATGATGAGATATAAAGTAAATGAAGGGTTATATCTACACTAAGAATTTTAAGTAGTATACAGCATAGGATAGAGTACGATGAATAAAATCAAGAGCTTAGCTATACTAAACAATACTACATTTGTCATAAGAACTCTATGTGTGTGTGTGTGTGTGTGAGATAGAGAGAGAGAGAGAGAGAGAAATGAAAATCCTGTGAAAAGCCAGAGGAACCAAATACTAATGATTCCTGATGAAGTGAAATAAGTTTAAAAAAAAAAAAAAGAATAGTAAAAATATGAAACTAACTACTACTAAAAACTACTCTCTTAGCAAGACAAAGAATACGACAGTGTTGGAAGCACATACTTAAAACCAAGCCATGCTAAAAAGGACTCATACACCAGCATTAACATAACTACAGAGGCTCAGCTCTGTTTGATTTTCATATTTAATGGAAAGCATACCAGGAGTAATGGTACCAGGAGGAACCAAAACTAGGAAAATGGTGGCAGTGAATAAGGTTATGTTTTGGAGTGCTTCAACTCTCAAAAGCACCCACTCTAACGCCGTATTTGTATAAAAGAATAGCCTTGCATCTGTGTCTATAAGTCTTAGATTATGGTAGATGAACCTCTCCATCGCTGAAAAAGCTCTTATTGTTACCACACCAAGAGATGTTTCAGCTGCACAGTTCATAACAGGAGCCTTTGTTGTTCCATTAATCCTAACTAATTCCCTTGCAGACGAGTGGTAGTAACCCTGCACAAACAAATTAAGTTAATGTCAATGTAGAAGAAGCCACTATTTTTGTGTATTAACCTCTGAAAGTTCAGACAGCAGATTGAACAAGACAGTGTGATCAATCATAAGTGATACACTCTCTTTTGCTTTGATGTTTAGTAACTAACATTTCTTCTACTCTTTTTGGTAAAACAGTTGTTGGTTTAGTGTTAGTTCCCCAACAAAGCCAATCATACCTACTAACCATGCTCAACAAAAAGCTCGAAACACATGCTTCAATCAGTAATAGGAACAGAGGAGCTTTGTTTCAAAGCTCCCCATTTCGTTTTGAAGGTCTCTGTTTTTTAGGTGGCGGTGGTTGTTTCCTCGGGGAGAGGGGAGGGGGGGTGGGTCAGGGAGTGGGGTGGGGTGTCGTTGAGCCCTTAAATTTACCAATGAACAATTTTTGTGTGTGTGTGTGTATATGTGTGTGTGTGTGTG